GCTTGCTGAAAGTGGAGAGGACTTAAAACATTCACTGATGAAGATCAAAGAGCACAGCCTTTGGTATGGATTACATCTCAACAACACCATGGGTTAATGCACCAAATCTCAAAGCTGTTTGATTGCAAGGTCAGTGGTTCAAGCTCACCAGCTGCTCCTTGAAAACCCTATACAGGGTCTCTATGGGTCAGAGTCGACTCAACGGCACAAAACAACAACAACAACCCTTAAAATGGAGTCCTGGTGTGGCACTGTGGGTTAATGCACTGGACTGCAAGGTTGCTTGGACCGTGAGGTCAGCAGTTCAACCTCACTAGCCATTCCTCAAAAACCTTATACAGGGTCACTATGGGTTGGTATCGACTCGACGCCACTTAACAACAACAACAACACTTACAACACATACTTGGGTATACTCAGAAAATCCATATCATCTCTAATTTGATAAGAACTTTGATACAACTTCATACACCAATAATGAAGTTTGGAGTTAGTCTTTCTGCTCCTATAAAGATTACAGCCTTGGGAACTCTCCATAGTATCAATGGCAATGAGAATCTTACAGAGCCAACTGCCCTATCTTTTTCCGTTGGAGAAACTGCTGGGTTTCTTTCAGTTAGCAACTGAGTCCCAAACCACTGCACCACCAGGGCGCCTTGGCAACCAAGATAGAGGGTTAAAATGAAGAACCAGTACAGGCTACAAGATAGCCAAAGTGGAATTTTCTTACCAGTGATAAGGTGTCCTTTATGTTTAGAAGTAAATAGAAGTCCAGAATTCTGAGTCTCATGTTGGAATTTGACCTGGAGAACTTAAACAAACAAACAAAAAAAACTGTCAGTTTCTTGCAGTTAGCATGCAGGTTGTCCAGTTTCCTAAGAGAGTGTCTCCACTTGTTTCGAAATTATTAAATTTTAATAGACATGAACAATGGAATAGCGCAATAGCCTCTGAGTGTGTGTCTTTTATTTAATTGCATAAGTCCCAAAGGAGGCACACTACAAGAACTGTAGAAAAAAACTACCCAAGGCTTGTAAAACTTCAAGGTATGTCTACTAATGTCGCGAGACTTCTAGGTAACAGTTTTCTATTGTTGTTATGAGGTGCTGTCTCATAGTTGGTTCAGAATCATAGAGACACTGAAGAGAATGAAACAGTGCCCAGTCCTCACAAATACCCAGGGGCTTTATTTCACTGAGCTGGAAAACTGCCACAAGAGCTGGTCTCTACTTGATTGCTTCCAGTAGTTGACGCAAAAATATTAGGTTTCCTTAAGAGCCTCCAAGATGTGTCATTTTTGCCTTTGCACAATCTTTGAAATGCTGCTCACCCTCTCTTGGCTCCACATAAGGAGCCCAATTTTGATTAATAGACACTTTGAATTGTAACATGGGGTGGAATGTCATTAATGACTTCCCTTGGCACCTTTCCTGCTGGCAGGGATCCTGGCCAGACTTGTCTAGTCATCCACATAAAGACAGTCAGGATACTTACTGCTCAGGAAAGCTTCTGACCAGGGTGGGGTAAGAAGCTTTGGCAGCTACGTGCTAGCAGTCTGAACACAAAAGGATACTGGAATTGCCTTGCTCATCTCCTCCCTTCTGATCATTAAAAGGCTGCCAGAGGTGACTTCAAGGACACACTACTCCCAGCTGACAGAGGCATCCTTGAAGATGATTCTATACTCTTCATCCCTAAGAGAACCTCGAACACTTTCATTCAGTCAGTCTGATTTCAGTGTTCAGATTATACTGTTTTTAAAAATTACTTTTGGTAACAGGGAAAAATGACAACTCAAGGTATCCTTAACTACCACTGAGATGCCACAGGCTTGTATACTAAGCTGTGTGGCTCATGCAACTCCCAATTTAAAAAATTCCCCAAGGTCTTTGGAATTTTTTTGTTTTGTTTTGTTTTGTTTCAAAAGCTGATCTGGGTTCAGGAACAATCTCAGTTGGAGGATAGTTTCTTAAGAATAATAGGCAAGGGATTTTAGAAAATGAAACCATCAGAAATAAGGCAAAAGTCCTTTCCTATATTTGTATTCTGGCTTCTCTACAGTAAGAGGAAAATGCTTCACTGTGAGCTGTGACAAATCAGAAATCCTTGGCTTCTCAATGCTTTTCTAAGTCTCTATTTTTCCCTGGGAATGTGCTTACTCCAAACACAGAGGGATAAAGGCTCTGCCCTCAGGACCAACAACCACATTTATTCCTCAAATTAGTATTTTATAGACTCATATTCATTCTCAGGGAGTTCAGGCAGCAACATTAAATTGAAATTTTAAGGGTAAAAATATTATAATGTAACATGGTTTTCAATTTGGCAAAATCATGGGTCTATTGCATGCACTGCTGGATTATTTTTGTTTTCACTTTTATTATTTAAAAATT